AGCCCACAGGCCAAGACTGCCACAGCGGTGGACCTGCAGCTGGCCCTGGTTTCTGCTGCAGGGAGGAGTGCACTTTGCTGCAGGCGGAGCCGCAGCAACTTGGAACAACCCCTTCTGCTGCTGCCTCACTCAGCAGAAGACCGCGGAGCAGCAGCACGAAGCAGCCCGCAGTCCTCACAGAAAACCGCCGCGGTCACAGAAAGCCACAGGCAGCTGCAAGCATGCACAGAGGAACCCTCGAAGCACAGGCACTGCGGAAACTTCCCAGCGAAGCCGCCGCAGCAAGAAAGGGGAGATGCAACTTTCTGCTGCGCGGTGCTGCGGCTCCGGATTTCCTTGCAGCTTCCGCTCCGGGTGCTGCTCCTTAGCCGCTGCAGCTGCCGTTGCCGCCTGAAGCTGTGATATTCCGCAGAAGCTGGAAGGATACAGCCGGTGCTGTTGCAGTTATGGGCCTTGGCGTTGTGTCTGCCCACTGGGAGGCAGCAGTAGTAGCACCAGGGAGAGCAAATGCCTCGCCGCTGCCGCTCTACATGCAATTGAGGTGTACAGACACCCCCCTCGCCCCAGTTGCTGCTCTCCGATTAAAGGATGGCAGTACAAGAAGGAAAATATAACTGAAAGATAAAAGGAACCAAGGCAATGGGAAATACTCTAATGCAGAAAGAGCCGCAGGAGGGCAGCAGGCTAGGGTTCAGGGTTCAGGGCTAGGAGGGGAACATGCCCCTAGAGAATGGGAACTTGCAAGGCACGAAAAAGCAGAGAGGGACACGTGCTGCTGTGCTGCTTTGCTGCTCGCCGTTGAGCTTGTTGCCGCTGCAGCAGAAGCCACTACAGTAGCAGCCGCTACTGCTGCTGCTGCCGCTGCTGTGCTGACAACCCAGGCCACAGCAGCAAACGCCGCTGTGCCAACATGTCCTTCATTTTTAATTTAAAAAATAAAACTACAAGATAACATCCACGAGAACTTCCTGTTTCCTAAGCCCGTGTACGGAGACTCACGGCTCCTTCGAAAGACCCCTCACGGCCCTATTCACGCCGCAACACTCAACTTCCCGGTGAACTAGCAGCGCAGTTTTGTCAAACATGAAACCCTGCATGCTTTAGCACAAATCATACGTGGAACTGCATCATTACTTTAAGACATGTGGTCGGCAGTGCTGGGTTTCTGGGTGGGGTCTTGTGGCTCTTGGCAACAGACAGAGCTTGAAGAGAGGCGAGCACGGAGTTTCGTAGCACTTTTGCATTCTACAATGGAAGCCCTGCTTCAGTACTTAGTCCAGAAGTCCCACAGGATAAGCTGACTGTCTTGCTGTGCTGGCGCGAGGTGTGCCTGCTGCTCGCCGTGCGGTAGAGTTGCTATCAACAACTAGCCAGCGGGGCGAATGCGCAGTGATGGAAGTCAGAAGCCTGCATCGCTCTAGTGGGCCCCAACACTTTTATGGGCACAGAACTCACTACGTATAGTGCTGCACTAGGAGCTTAGCGACTTCGAGAGAGCTAGGCGGACGACACACGGCAGAAACGCTCGTTTCCCAGGGCAAGGACTTACTTGTAGCGCAGTGGATTTTGCTGAGGTTTGGCCCAGGAGGGGTATAGTTTGAGAGAATAGAAAGTTAAAGCACTGCAACGGTCTCTAGGGCTACACATTGGGCAATTAAGCGTCTCTGGCAGGGGGCTGCGTAAGTTGCAAATGTTAGCAGCAGTTCCATGCCTGAAGGAGGTGAAAACGGAGATTCTGTTCTCTACATCTACAGAATTTTTCTCTCCCTGAGAATTTATCACATTTTGGACATTCGGAATCCTTGCAAGTAGCCAATACACTCCTGAAGCGGAGACCAGGGAGAGCTGCTCGCCGTCAGCATTATCGCATCAGTGCTCAGAGAACGCCAGCTTGGATTGCTTCAATTTTAACTGATGACGCCTGCAGCCTTGTGGTTGCCGTAAGGCTTACAGAACAGTGGAGTTTGACAGTAAATTTAGAGATGCGTTCTCGCTATGCACACAAGCCCAAGGTATCTGCTGTCTAGAGTATGCCGTTTGACCCCTGCTTGCGTCAAGACTAATGTGCACACAAATTTACAGCCAAGCTTACACATTCCGCATTCATTATGAGTTGCGAATGCTGACTTCATGTGCTAGCGAATAAGAGAGTTCGAGTGAAGAGGTCCGGTGAACGCCTTTTCACAATTCCACGACTAATTACCACTCTAATGTCGCGCCCAAAACAGCCAACAGCTAGGTTTGAAGTTACAAATTTGCAGTAGTGGCTAGGTCTGCGTTAAAGGACCTTATTTTTTGGGTTCGACCTTTGGAGTGGGAGGCCCCATAAGCATCGTAGTGAAAAAGCAGTAGATCTAGGCAAGATGATAAGGGCGCTATGGAGTCCCCATGGGTCGTTTTCGTCTCTCGTCGTTTCTTCAAAGGGCGTGAGTATTTCTAAGGGGGGGAGAAAAGCGGTAAAGAGCGTGTATATTTATGTTGCTGCGCCTTGCCCTCAGCATAGCAGTCTTCCGTCGGCTTCCATTTGCTAGTTGCTGGTGGAAAGGCGGAGACTTCGCCTCCCGTACTTATCCTTTGTTGCCCGGTGAAAGCTGAAACGCATTCACTAGTGCATAGGTGAGATAATTGAGGTATAAACTTTGAGAGCACGGCTTCAACAGTCCAACTACTGCTAACGGAACGAAACGGAGTCCCCAACAAGTAGAAGTGCTTGCTGTTTCACTTTCCAGTAAATTGGGATATCTGTGAATTACTACAAATGTAGGAGCGAATCAATAGAGGTGGCCATTCAGTATTTCATGCTGACACCAATTTGGCAGCCATTTGGTTGGCAGTTTGTGAGCTGCGTTTAGGCTCGTACCTTATTCTTAGTTTCACGTTAGCAAGACGATGCGTTGCGATCGTTCCAAAGCGCTGCGATCTCAGACCGTGTAGGAGATCCAGTGTCCTTGGCGCTTTTTGGCTGCTACATTGGGAGACCCTGCTGAAACGCATATTAGCCGGCCTGTGCAAACTATCGGACAGTAGAGGAGTTTATACTTTGGTCGATGCCATGTTATGAATACATGCAGTACTTCATACGGAATTTGGTGAGCCTAATGTCGGTTAGAGCCGTTTTAAAAGCGCTTGGATGAATGCTATTGCTATAGCTCTGAGTTGCCAGACGCGTGATAGATGCATTGATGCATTCTAACTAATTAGGGGTTTTAGTATTTTGGCAAAACGTAATAGGAACCACAACAACAGATTACCAAATTCATGTTTGGATGATGATTTGCGAACACCAGTCTTAACGTTCCAATCCTCATCCGGAGTTTCTTGATGGCTACAGCAGGCGTATCGCTAATAAAGAGACAAAGCTCCTTTTTGACGGATAAGCAATAAAAACTCATTATTACCATCCAGTGCTTCCAAAAAGCAGCTATTACCTGTTGTGCTCTTTATGAGCTACGCTAGGGACAAACTTTCTTCCGCTTAAAGTGTTTCGAACAGCAGGCGCAGTTGTCCAGTGTTTGTTCTTAGTCAATACCATGCTGTCAAGTTTTCTTAGGCATCTGCTTATCTCCAAAAAGCGTTTCCGCAGTGCTCATGTACATTTAGTTTCAAGTTTTGAGGCCATGAATGATCATAGTGCATCTTATACTGTGAAAGTCTCTCAACAGAGATTTCACACATAATATTATCTTGGAGGAGGCAAGAAGGTGAGTAGAACGAATCTGGATACCCTTTCTGCCGAACGAAAAATCCGCCAAACTATAGAAAAGGATATGCCGGCTAAAGTATGAAAGGAAAATAAGGGAAATTAAAGCACGCTGGCTGCTGAGTGATATAGCCCTCCAAGCGGCTGTTGCCTTGTGGGGCAGCCCGCTGGTTTCTATTATAAGTCTGCAAGCCGAAGAGTATTTCTCCTCAACATCCCCAACATATTTCCGTTGTAACCCTAAACAGATACTTCATTTTACTATTGCGCTAATTACCAGAAGAAGCTTTGGAATAGAAATGAGTTTTGCCTAAGTTTCCTTCCATGCATGAGGCATTAGTTGACTATTAGCGTTTACATTGCCCTAGCACCTAGTTTTGGCACTTCTCCACTAAATCAGTCTACTCATTCATATTACCTAAGTAGCATATTTTCTTCTATCTGCGTCAAATTGTTGCTATCACTTTTTCATAAAACCATGACCTCGCGCACACGCTTTTTGCAAGGTGCTCCAGCACTGAACATCTTCTTCATGCATGCTGCCTTCCATATGGCTTTCCCGGCCAGCGTCATCTTTGGAGCTGGTTAGGAAGCTGCGTTGATAGAGAAATCTGAAAAGTCCAAAATTTGCAACACGGTTTTCGCAGCACAAGCTGCGGAAGGATTATTGAGAAATTGTCAACATGTTCTGTATCGATGCCTGGTAATGAGCTGACATGTAGCTGAGGGTGTGCCCTAACTAAAACTCAGTTTTTACACGAAAGAAGCGCAAATGCATGGGTAAAATGGCGAAACAAGGGAAAAAGAACATTAGATGGGACATACTTCAAGGCAACAAGGCGGGACTCCTGGGAGACCGAGGCGCCTTGGGCACAACTGAGTTATGCTGAAATCGGCCCAATATTTCCGTTCATGTGCTCTCATGCTGCAGGAAGCATGATCGCTACAAGGTCAAGTAACCCACAAGGGCCATTAGTGGAGCCGCCTAAGGCCTAAATCTGCGAATTTCGCACCTAGAGAAAGTGCTCTGGCAAAAGGACGGCCTTATGGGCCTTCGCTGTGAGAATAATGAAGTGCATCGAGCTTCTTTATCGAGTCCAGCGTCCTTTTCATCAAGCTCCAATATGTTCCCTATACGTCAA